TTTTGCAACAATTTTATATTAGTGGTGAGAGATCAGGTTTTGTTCATGTGTCTGTTTGTCTTCCACTCAAAAGACCTATACAATTCAGGGAAACAGGTTATGGTGGAAAAAATGCTTAGGAAGTATGGCCAGACACACAGAAATTATAAAGATAGAGGGGAGACTCTTCCGTTCCAACAATTTCAGAAATAAAAATTTAGAAGGTTAATGTATGTATAGATAAACTGAAATTGGAATACCAATAATTTTCTTGAAGGCTTGCCATCTGAAGACAGAAACCATTACATATGAAGAGAAGGAACAGCAGCTGGTCAATGACTGTGTCAAAGAGCTCCGTGAGTATCCATGCTGTATCTTGCAATGGCAAAATGGTATTTGAAATACCTAGTGCCTACACCTTAGTTATACCTGAATCAAAATACGAGTTTCAGTAATCTATGCCAATTATTCAAGTCTTACTCTTTACCCAAGTGCAAAATTGTTCCTGTATTTCGTCAAGTTTCACTTTGTCATTCATCTTCAGGTACGTCTACTGTGTTTAGAGAGAGAAAATGGATACAAAATCTAATATCTGTAAACCTCCTAAAGTAAAGTCTACAGACACTGGAAAATCAGCAAAATATACTTCTTGAATAGAGTATTCAGCATACTTGACACTGAAATGTATCAGTGCACAGACTCTTAAATGCTCATTCTAAAGCATTATATATCTATGAACACATTAGTTTGATTTGTAATATATCTTTTAAAAATAAAACATTTAAAATGGTAAGTGTTTTAATTTGTCTAGAACAGGTGTCCGTATTTGCTTTGGGGACTACTTATTTGCAAAAAATTACAGCTACTCTTATACAAATGCACATTAAGTATTCTGAAACAATAAGGAACAATCTTTTTGTGTGTGCGGTGATAGTGTAACCTGGTGGTACATTTTTTTTTTTTATCTGTAGTCATTTGATGTGTGCTACTTCCTTTGTGCATAATAACCTTAAGCTAATATTTTAAGATTTTTTTTTTTCCTATACAACCACCATAAAGAAGACTGAGTTGCTGCTTGATTCTTCCAGATGACCACAAAATACTACAAATTGATACATAATTGGTTGTTAATTTACTCCATTCCCTCTGAGAAAATAGGTATCTTTTGCAAATAGAAGTTATTTCATATAAGCTCTCCTATTTTCCTTCAATAAGGATGTCTGTGAGTTCCGTTTTGTCCAATTCTGTAGGACATATATACATGCTAGGTAATTTAGACTCACAGAAGGAATCCACTCCCAAAGGATGTCTAGTCTGCAGCTTTAAAATTTGTGTCTTCAGGAAAAAGGTATCTGTCTGTGAGCTTAAATGTCCACAGGCCCATGCACAGGACCTTGTTCTGCAGTAAATCTGTGAGGTACAATAACAACTAAATTTGTGACCTTTATGCAAGAGTGATCAGAGTTTATTATGACTTTGCTATGGCTTCAGAGCAAGTATACAAACAATACTAACTACATAAAAATATTTTGGCTTTTTGAAGTGCCTTGTCATCTCACTTGATGCAGTGCTTGCTCAAAGGAAAAAAAACCCTGGAAATTGTATGCAGTGGGTCTATGTTACACTTGACAAGGTCTGACAAAATGCCTTTGCTTACAGAGAATGGTAGTTAATAACAAGATCAATCCAGAGCCTGGCTTCTTCACCATATTCCAAGTCTGGCCTTGGTCATGAGAGCCAGTGTGTCATTTGAAATTGTTTATTGCAGCTTATCTTGGATTTTATTATGGTCATTTCATATACCTGTGGTACGTATTTCAGGTTCTGCATTCTTAGCTTTTAATGTTACACCTGCATTTGAAGTTAACTCTCTTCTCCTCCCCACGATTTCTCTTTATCTTTCCCTTATGGATGTTCTAAGGCACCTACTCTTAAGTACTATGAATTGATTTCCTAACACTATTGGTCATTTTGCAGATTGTTGTTGACTTTCAGTGATCTTTTCTAGGTTTTGGGTTTGGGTTGGTTTTTTGTCACATGTTGGGAAAAGCTCTCTACTAAGTTCCTTTTATGTTTTGTAGGACAAACAAATGCTCAAATTTCCAGAATAACAGAGGAGTTGTCAGAGAAGAGTGAGGAATTAGTTCGCTACCAGGAAGAGATCTCATCCCTCTTGTCTCAGATTGTTGATCTGCAACATAAACTCAAAGAGGTAAGTGAATACCGCATAAGAGCGTATGCGCACACGTGTGTGCATGCGCGTGCGCACCAGTGCTTACAGCAGGTAAAAATTGACTTGCAAGCTGGTGGTTACACTGCAAGAAAGTGGCTGTTTCAGGAAAGTATGGCAGAGGATCAACTATCTCGGGGAAATCGGCTGAGAAAATGATGAGCACCTTTTTGTGCTTTCAGCATGTGATTGAAAAGGAGGAGCTGAAACTTCACTTACAAGCTTCCAAAGATGCTCAGAGACAACTGACAGCAGAGGTACTTAAGGCTTCTATACATACACATTTAGATAAACGTTTAGAATAGAATACAAGAGAAAGAAAACTAAGAGAGAATGGGAACTGTTGCTTTTTAAATATGTAGGGCTTTTCATTTTTTGTTGTGGTTGGAGTCATATGATTGGAGGAAAAGAATAATTATTTTTGTCGTTCACAGGAATATGAAAGACAAGGAAGGCATTCCAAGTAGGGAGGTCTTACTGTTCTTAGTAGTTATGAGAAAAAGAGTGGTTTAGTGTGAATGTTACTGATTATATCAACAATACTGTAGCTTATTAGATTTTAAGGAAGTTCTCTTTGTGCATCAGCAGTTGATGTATTTGCAGAGTTTTTCGATGTATTTTCCTTTGGATTTTATCATACTTTTTCCTCTTTTGAGTCTTAATTTGGACTTCATGCTTCACCGCTAAAATTGGTGCAGGTACTATGCTGGCCATTGTCCATTCCAGATGTTGACATGTGCCGTACAGTTGGAAAAATATTAGTGTTAAATAAGTTGATACATGTTTCTGTAGGAGTTAATTCAGTTTCATTCTGTCTTTTCTCTGAAGCTTAACAGTTGGAAAAATACTGGTGTTAAAACAGTCAATACAGGTTTCTGTAGGAGTTAGTTTCATTCTGTCTTTTCTCTGAAGCTTACTGGTATCACGTGATGCCCTCTTTTCTCTTTCAGCTACATGAGTTGCAAGATCGGAATGCAGAGTGTCTGGGGATGTTGCACGAATCACAAGAAGAAGTGAAGTTGCTGCGCAGCAGAGCCAGCTCTATTTCTTGTCTCTGCCACCCCCAATCATGTGGAGCATTTCCTGTGGTAATAAATACCGCTAGTGTGGCACACATCTACTGGCACATACGGCCTCTAGTAGCATACAACTATATGAGTAAAACAGCCATTACAGGAGCTGCAGCAGGAACTATTTTGTAGAGGGCAAAGGAGCTGATCTAATGTTCTTAAAATTCTCAAAAGTGTACACATTAAAGAATTGAATGTATTAGGAAACTAATCATTCACTTGCCATGTTGTGGTATTAAAATGATTTTTTTCTTTATATGCCTTTTCCATTAAATATGGGAATTGGCATGTTCTACGGCTAGTGCTCAGTTGTGCTAGTATATCGTTCAATGTTGATGTGAATTTCATAACTTGACAGTATTTCTTTAAGAAACAAAGCATCTTTTCCAGAGTTCAAAGAGTATTTTTCTTCCTTTATGTAATTTATGTTGTAATTTTATGTCCTTGTGAGATTATGTCCTTGTGAGATTGCAAGCATCATCAGAAATGCATGACCTGAGGTTAATTGCCAGAGATGACTAAACCAATGGAAAAAGGTTAAAAGCATTTATTTTCCTCCACTTACTAGTGTCAGGTATGTTCTGATGTAGTCTCAAAAATTTCCAGGCTGTTCTGGGCATTTTTCAGGTTTTGGTTGATTGTTCTGTGTATACAGAATCCCTCGTGTACGTGTTTGGCCTTGTAAGAAGTGCTCTTACAATTGTAGCTTAACTTAAGAAACCAACATAAAAAGTACCAAGAAAAAGCAGATATTGCTAATGAAAACTGAATCCATACTGATTATGCATAGGTGTAGTTATGGTGGAAAACTCCCCTTCAGAGACTGAAGGGTTTGTCCGAAATGCACAAATACCGGGGAAACAAATGAGTGTTTTCTGAGAGATGTTTTCTGCTAAAATTGTCACTAATTTGTCCACTGTTCCGGTTTACGTTTTTCTCTAGGATTCCCTTGCAGCAGAAATTGAAGGGACAATGCGGAAGGAATTGAATAAGCGTGATGAATCTGTTCTCTCAAAGCAAAAGTATGTTTTCAGATCTCTATGTGCTATTTCAATATTTTTTCCATATGCTTGTATTAAGTAAGGCAAAACTGATTTCTGGAAATCTATAAATGTGAACATTCCCTCTATAGTAAGTTTTTTCTACGTAACTTGATGAAAAAAGCTTTGTAGTATTTTGTAATCTTTTCAACTTTGAAACCTATGATTCTTATTTGATTCTATAAGGAAGTTGGGAATTTGCTAAAAGGATGTTACTTCATTCTTTAATTTGTGAGATTTCTGATGCAAATTCTGTGATGCACAGCACTAGTTTTATCCCTTTTAACGCTTAAAGAAAAATTCTCCAGCAAATGAAATTACAGCTGAAAGATTGATAACGGTTTTCAAAGCCCTGAAGACCTGGAGCCTTTACTTCTAAGCAAGTAGTAGTGAGTTTTATATATGCTTTCATGAGCATATATTTAATAAATAAATAAAATGTATGCTCCTGAGTGTTCTCAAGTGGTTATCAATAGAGGTTCACGTCTTTCAGGTAGAAGCAAGTGTTAATTCTGGTATTTAGTAGAGCAGCACTCCTGAAAAGATGGGTGTCTTAAGCAATACTTTTTCTGGGCTTAAATCTTTTTAGTCAGGTCTCTGCAGACTTTCAAAAGTCTGTTGTTCAGAGCTTTTTCCTTCTTACATCTTTTTCAAAATGCTTCTGAAAACCACATTTGTTTGCTTGTCTTTTATGCAGGGGTCAACAGAAACGAGTATTTGACACTGTCAAGGTTGCTAATGTCACTCACGGCCGCTCATCTTCCTTTCCTGCCCCACTGCCAATCCCTGGATCTAATCGGTCAAGCGTTGTTATGACAGCAAAGCCCTTCCAGTCTGGTGTACACCAATTGGAGAGCCACACACGGATGACCCAGAGGACCAGCTCTGAGAAGAATGTGAAGTAGGTGACACAGCCTGTTACCTTCTTTCTAAACTAACTGATCCAAAACTAAATCCAGACTGGACCTCTGCTGTGTAAGAGAGAAATAGTTAATTTAATGGTCTTCATATCTGTTATGCTTTGGTGTTTCTTACAGAGACACTCATCATACCGGCCAGCCGGGAACCCCTGGAGACAATGACTTAGTCACAGCTCTGCACAGACTCTCCCTCCGTCGTCAGAACTACCTGAGTGAGAAGCAGTTCTTTGAGGAGGAATGGGAGCGAAAAATGCATTTGCTGGCTGAGCAGAAAGAAGGGGCTAGTGGCTGTAGTACACCGACAGAAAGCTGTTTTTCCCTGGGTGCAAACTCAGAATTCACTGATCTCTCTGCCAGCTCTAGTAATCTCCGTGTCCTCCTACCAGAAAAATTGCAAATTGTCAAACCCATTGAAGGTAAGAGGATCATACAACCATAGAATGGTTTGGGTTGGAAGAGACCTTCAAGATCATCTAGTTCCAACCCCCTTGCCATGGGCAGGGACACCCTCCACTAGACCAGGTTGCTCAAAGCCCCATCCAACCTGGCCTTGAACACTTCTAGCGATGGGGCATCCACAGCTTCTCTGGGCAACCTGTTACAGTGTCTCACCGCTTTCACAGTGAAGAATTAAAGCCATTACCCCTTGTCCTATCACTACATGCCCTTGTAAACAGTCCCTCTCCAGCTTTCCTGTAGGCCCCCTTTAGGAACTGGAAGGCTGCTGTAAGGTCTCCCTGGAGCCTTCTCTTCTCCAGGCTGATCAACCCCAACTCTGTCAGCCTGTCCTCACAGGAGATGTGCTCCAGCCCTCTGATCATCTTTGTGGCCCTCCTCTGGACTTGCTTCAACAGGTTCCTTCTCTCATCAGCAGAAAAGGATTTTACATTAATTTGCCAACTAAATCAGTGTTGGTGTGTGTATAGCTAGGTATGATAATGCAGTAAGAGGAAATATTAGTATTTGGTAGGCTACATGCCAACTAGCTCATCAGTATCACTTTCTACTTGGCTTTCTTATATGGTGCTAGGCTTTTTCTTGGCATTGCCATCCAATCGTGCCATGTGTGTCACAGTGTTGGCAACAGTTGGCTGGAATTGTTTTGATCGTGAATTCTTGTAACTCAATATAATAGTAGGTAATGGCTCTGTGAGACTCTTCTCTTTTGTCACACCAGGATCTCAGACTCTGTTTCACTGGCAGCAGCTTGCTCGACCCAACCTAGGCACCATTCTTGACCCAAGACCAGGTGTTGTTACAAAAGGTTTTACCCCTCTGTCTGATGATACGGTGTACCACATCTCAGACTTGGAGGAGGATGATGAGGAAGAAGGTGAAGGAGGTATAACTTTTCAAGTGCAACAGTCCTTCCTGGAGAAAAAGAAATGTACAGTAGCAAAGCCAGTGGCAGGGATTTTCCTGCCACCTATTACTTCAGCAGCAGTACCGCTCACCGGTAAGAAGCATGGGTAGTGTTTTTTCCTCTTCTTCTTCTTTTTTTTTTTTTTTTTCCCCCCAGTGTCTTTTTCTCCGTGGAAAGTATTTGGCCTTGCCACACTGCTGTGTTTGCTGTCTTTATTCTTTATCCAAAAAAAAAAAGCAGTGACAGTAACATTGTCTTAACCTTTGCTTTGATTAGTCCTTACTTGTCTTTATTTTTACCCTCAATGGATGTAAATTCTCCATGTTGCAGCCTCGAATCCAGGGAAGTGTCTGTCTTCCACAAATTCCACGTTTACCTTTACTACCTGTAGGATCCTTCACCCATCTGATGTCACTCAAGTTACTCCCAGGTATGATGACTGCTGACATCCTAAGAGTTGCTGCATACGATTAAACAGTTGCTTCCTGGCTTCTGATACATGGACCAGTTTTAAAAATACCAAGGCAGCTAGGCTACACATAGGATGTTACTCATACAAATAAGTTGTAATTACAAAGTGGAAACCTGAAATTCTCTACAGTGATAGTTAAAATAGGTTAGGGTAACTTAAAGGAAGTACATTTATACTCTTAAATAGCAAATGCCTTGTATTGTATACCTATTAAAAAAAATAATAATTGATACTACCAGATTTTTTTTCCCAATTGTGTCATTTTTTTTAAACTAAGTTATTACTGGACATCTATGTTGATATTCTAACACAGTACAGGTGACCACAGAAGGTAAATTCATTGGTACTTACACCAAAGCCTCTCTGTCAACGTAGCGTTTTCTAAATGTTTTGCAGGACAATAATTCTGAATGTACTAAAGCTGAAACTGTTACAGCTAATAGCAATAGTTTACTTTCTCGAGCCTTCGGTATACTGAAAGGCAAATACAGAGCAGAGCAAGTGTAAAGATGTCTAATGTGTACATCTTCTCTCTTTCATTTTTGTTTTATTTCAGCTCCATGGGTGCCCCATTTTCACTTGGAAATACTGTCAGCAGTATTGGAAATCCAGTAGTGAGCACTCCAGCTGTGTCTTACGGCCTTAGTATTGGAGAATTTCTCACCAACAGAAGAGATTCAACTACTACCTTCAGCAGCACAAGCAGTCTGGCTAAACTTTTGCAAGAACGAGGCATCTCTGCTAAGGTTTATGATAGCCCTGTATTAGAAAAACTGCCTTTGCTACAGCCCCCTCGAACTCTCCTTATTCCTTCTACTCCACCAAATTCTCCCTCACGTTCACCTTGTCCTTCCCCTCCACCATTTGAGCCTCGAGCACATCACTCAGAAAATTTCCTGGCTTCTCGACCAGCAGAAACATTCTTGCAAGAAATGTATGGCCTAAAGCCCTCCCGTCATGCTCCAGATGTAGGCCAGCTGAAGATGAACCTAGTGGACAGGCTGAAGAGGCTGGGTATTGCCAGGGTGATCAAGCCCCCTGAGAAGCAGGACCACAGGAAGAATCAGGGCCCAGAGGTCAGCTTGCAGAGGCAGGGCTCTGCTGTGTTTTTAAATGCAGGTAGCAACTTAATGGCAGGACTGAGAAGAAACCAGAGTCTTCCAGCCATGATTGGAGCATTGGGAGCTCCAGTTTGCACACAGTCATCAAAAATGGATATCCTAAAGGAGGACTGACTGGTCTGAAAAATTATTGACTTCTAGCATAGTTAATAATGCACAAGGGATGAACATCCAGTACAGGCATCGTTAGATGTGTTACAGAAGAGTTGGAGAAGGCACGTGCATGTTAAAGATATGGGAGAGAGAAGTGTTGAGATCAAGGAGAAAAAGAACATTGCTTGGGTTTGAGGAAGAAAGCTTTCGTGGAAGATAAGAAAGAAGAAACCAAAGCTTAGTATTGAGACCCCATTCAGCATCTGTATTAACCAAAATTAAATACCATTGTAGACATTCTCAGTATTTTAACCTTTTAAACTGTACATGTAGAACTGTCTTGCAGGTGCTGTTCTATTTTTTCCATCATACAAACATAGTATTTTACTAGTTGTTAGCAGTCAGACTGTATCATTTAAATGTAATACTAAATTAACAGTCAGTCTGACCAGCATTATTGGTCCAAGTTCCTCTCTGTAACAAGCAAATATGAAAACTTGGGATTTTTTTTTTTAATTATGCTTGTATTTTCCTTTTCAGAAACTGTACTCTTTTGAACTCCTCCCCACTTTGAGATACAGGGGAGAGAACTTTTAATTCTATGTAAGAAAACAATATTTCTGTTTACAAGCATAGAAACTGGTGGTCAGGATTTATATTTTGAAAGAGCGCAATTGTGTGAGTGCGGTATTAACAGAAGTTAATGTCTTTCCAGAGCTTCTGAAGCACATAGAGGAAGGTGCAATGAATAAGAATTAAGAGGCAGAAAAGTATGTATTTGGGTGAAAACGTCAAGCTAAGAAATCTTTCCAAAGTGTGCTGTGCATCTTTTTAAATGAGGGTATTTTTGCACATACAAAAAAAAATTAAAAATCTCAGGCACATTTCAATGTTGCAAAAGGGAAATAAAACCTAGGTGCTTGATTCAGGGTTTCTTTGTATTTGACAGAAGTGGAGAGCATTTACTTCAAGACAAGTGTCGGAAATTCGGTAAACTGATTCTTGACAGGTAGACATTCTGTATATTTGAGAGTTCTGCAGTAAACTTCAGGACTTTCGTTCACTTATTTCTGCTTTTAGGCAGGATTTTGTTTAAAACACTTCATTAAGAGCAAAATTTACCAGTCTCTATTCAGAAACAGGAAGATGAAAACTACTGTTCTTGGTAGTATTTTAATGAACATAAATGAGTTTTGTCTACAGTGAAATCCCATGTTTTAATGATGGAGAGTGGTCCTGAACCTGATTCTGAACAAAGGTGAGACAGGCTTTCCATCTCAAAAGAGAAGTCTCTTTTAGAAATCTGATTTCTGAGTGGTAATCAGCAAAATATTATTGCCCATGCTGCTTTTTGGATTCCTTCCTGTCCAAGGTTCTAGTCATAACTGAATAATCTACAATAGATTTATAGTGTAACTTAAAGAAGAAAAAAGTTTACCCAGAATTCCTCAGAGGAATGGGTCTTTGCTAGTGACCTGAATGGAACCAGGTTCTTAATCATTTTGTAATTTTTCACTGTTCAACATTTAAAAATTATTTTAAAGTTTAGTTTCCACACAATTAGATAAAACAGTCAAAGTTTACCTTGCTTGTTACAGTGTATGTGGGACATAGCTGGTATCTGTCTGGGTGCGTGGTGTGAAGCATAAGTATAATTACACTGATTTGCATTTGCCATCAGGCACATCCACCATAGTCAGCACCCTTGTTGCTGCAGGGTTGAGCGGAGTAGGGCAGGAAAGGTAAGCTTCTTAGCCTGGTTTGTAGGAAATTTGTAATGTGGCCTTTCTGCTTTTGCCCTTCTATAGATCTTGTGGTGACTCTTTAATATAACAGTTTGGTAAAAGGAAAAGGAGTAACCACTTCAAACTTGCACAGGGATTCTCAGCAGAAACTTGTCTGTCAGCAGCGCACAGAAATATTCAGGAACTCCTGCAGTTGCCTTTTGCTCTCTAAGCAAAAATCTTACACTTCTCAAAGGTGAATTTTATTTAAAATACTATATACGGGTTAATTTTGTTTTTTAAATAAAAATATTTAATTTCTTCATGTAAGTATTTATGTTTGCATGTACTTAGCTGTGCATGGGGTCTTGCCTAGCTAAATAAAGTAAGAGTGAAAGGAGCGGGAGGAGGTAATTTTGCTCTCCAGTGAACTAAGACAGGTTTGTGTGCTGTCTGTGCAACTTCTAGGGAAACAACAGGAATGAGTTAAGAAAATATTAGACAGTTTGGAATCAACAGAGAAGTGTACAGTATGTCAAAAGTATGTCCATTTTATGTGTGTTTATTATAGGAATACATGTAAGTTACAGGTAGATTTTTGAAGGTATTACAGTGTTTCTAACTGCCTTCATTAGATAACTCCAGCCAGTGGATCATTCTGTGTGTTAGCAGCAGAACCAGCACACCAGCTAAATCAGAATTCCTTTGGCAGACCAGGTTTCATTTAAAATTAATCTAGAAGCACATTAATTAAATGCATATTTCTCTTTGGGACACTTCCATATTCCATAGCCCAACAGTATAAACTTGTTCAGTTCAAACAATACTATGGATATGTCGAGAGGTTGGTTGGTTGGTTTGTTTTCTGTAGGATGATGTATCATCAGATACTTCACACAAGACAACAAGAAAATGGAAGAATCTGTATAACATCGTGTTTGTGTGTTTATCCAGTTGGTCAATGGCTGTGGTGCAGTGTCGTTGAAATTCTGTCATGCGTTTATACCTTTGGACGGTCATGCGCATTTTGTATATGTATGTCTAGCTTGCAGCAACAGGGAGAAATTGGTACTCCTTCCAAATTTACTGTTTTGTGCCTAAACCTAGAAGATAAACTTTTCTGAGTAACATACATGTTTCAGAGAACATACTAAAAGTTGCTGTCATTTTAGGAAGTGATTTGGCTTCTGTTGCCTCCTGTAAGAGAGAAAACCAACTTGCATGAATAAGATAGCTGAGATCCTGCACAAGTTCTTTTGATCCTGCACAGGTGTGATTTGGTTGAGCAGGAGGTAGAACTAGAAGGAATGGAGACTTACATTGCGGAAAGGTTCTGTTATCTTGCAGGTTTGAGACAAAAATAGATGCTAGAAAGAAGGAACTTAACATGCTTGTGAAGGTTTCAAGAGACAGAAGGGAATTCTTGTAGTATTTACTTCTATTCAGGTTGGCTTAAACCAAGCACAAATGTATAGCTTTCTAGTTTCACTGTTTTTGATGAGCTCAGTGATACCTGCATCCTCAAAATACCTGTGGTCAAAGTTAAAAGTCTACTGGAGTCAAACAGCAGCAGAGAGGGATGGAGAATATTGGGTTTGGGCCTCATTTGGCTGTTACACAAGGGGATTATACACAATGTTTGAGCAGTCTGGGAATTTCATAGTATTTTTTTCATCTGCTTTTTGCACTTACTGTTGTTTCGTAGTGGAATGTAAATTTGATAATAAACATGTATAACATGCCATTTTTCAGTATATTGGCATCTTGTATGGTTTGTTCCAGAAGTCATCTTCTATACTAGTGTTCTATAATAAACCTAAAATTAGGCCTTTTTTTGGCTAAAATGTAGTGATTGTTATACTGTACACAAGCTTAGTGAGTTGGTATGTGCACAAGTGGTGTCTGTAAAAGCTGAGAAATTGATGTAAAACTTGATCAGGCTGCGCTGGGCTGTGCTGCAGTCTGACTTGGCACAGTAAATGTGCGATCCTTAAACCCAGGACAGAATGCTTACAGAGTACCTTCTGCTGCACTTTGAAAAGCCTGTTACTTAAGAATGAAAAACGTCATAAATGAAGAATAGCTCATTAACTTTTATACAGAATATTTGAATGTGAGCCTCACTTTAAATGAATGTGTTCATTTTCTGGTACTTTGGGGGTTTAGTGTGTCTGTGTTGTTTTGAGTTTTTTTTTCTCTTTTTATTTTACAGCAGCTAATATGTTCCTCTAGCATTATACTGTTAGAAACAACACTGCTGTTTTTCCATCTCAGTAGCTGATGTTACGTCAGCCCTCTATTTGTGATTAAATGGGGGTAGAGATTGAAACTAAGCTACTTACCCTGAAGGGTACTCCCTTTGTGTAGGTCTCACTGTGAAGTTTCTTGGCACAGAGGTGCCAGGTTCTTGCCAGTCGTGTCTGTCTGGGGCTGTGCGTACCACCTTCAGCACAGCTCCTGCACTCACGTTTCAGCCTGTAAAGTTCTGATCATTTCTCCCAAAACACTGAGTTCCTTCAGTGGTACATAATGGGAACAACATTGTTTTCCAGTTAACAGGGTCTTACTTGAATTAGCCTAACAATTACTGACAGCGGTTCCTCTGTGTGCATGACATCTCAAAGAACTGAGCACCACCATTACCCTATGGAAAGTATCCTGTATTTATTTAGCTTTCTTATTTTTCTGACATTAGAAGAGGGAGAAGGGGTTGCACTCTTGTCAGACTGAAGTTGACTTTTCAGCAGAACTTTTCATATGCTGATGCTTACAAGTGGGACATTTTGAGGTGACATTCTCGTCCCGCAGTTCTCTGCAATCGTCATACCTATAAATGGTTAGGCAGGATTGAGCTGCAAGCTGGAACACCGGTATCTGGGTTGCAAGAGATGTTCACCAAGTTTCCTTTGCTAGCAAGTAACTAACTAACAGTTTCCTAATATTCATTATATTTATGCACAAGAGTACTTAACATATTTGTATTTGCATGTCCTTAGAACAAAGGCCTATGTTACCAGTGTAATTAACTGATGACATTACAGAAATGTGTCCCACAGTGGAGAAGCATAATGGCCATAGGCAGATAAACAGCACCAGAGGAACATTAGATAGTGGTAGAGTTGGGATTTCTGGCTACGTGCTCTATCTGCATCAAAGCTGTTCATGGTGCAGATGAAAAGAAAATTAATGTCAGGATACAAGTTCCTGTTGAACTTGAGAGATTTCAGCTGTCCTGAAACACCTGAGCCTGAGGAGTACAGCTGGCTGCCGCTTTGTCGGAGTGCACACGCTGTGTAAGAGTTTGTGGTGGGTTTTTTTTCCCACTTGTTCTCTAGCACTTCGGCTGTAGTAAGGGAAGAGAGTTGTAATCCCTTTGAAGCTACAGGAAAAGAGCTAGAACTAACGACAAAAAGCTCAGGCGTGCCTGAGGAAGGTGCAAGGAAGAGCTTCCTGGACAAAATAGGTTTATTAAGCCACCTAAGTCAATAGGCCTTTGGCAATTCTGAAAAGAAATTCTGGAGTGTTTCTGCACAGATGAGATCTAGAAGTACTTTGAGCTCCTTTCTTGTTTTCCTTTTAGTTGGTCACACTGCTAAAAGAAAGACTTTTGACAGTCTCCTAGGAGCAAGGGCCTTTAAACAGGATTTTATACAATGCAGAAGTGAGAAATAAGGCCTTTTGTGTGGGTTGGAGTTTCCACTTGAAGGCATCTGTAACTCTTGCAGTTGAGCTCTCAATGCCTAGGTTTGGATAACCCAAGATAACCTGTGCTTTTAGCAGAAATTTTCAAATAAATTGGAAAGAGAAAAGCTGCGTACTGGTTTTGACTGGGCTATTTAATTTTCTTCATAGTAGCTAATGTGGGTTTGTGCTGAAAACAGTGTTGATGATAAGGCAGGGATTTATTGTTGAGCAGTACTCACAGAGCCAAGGCCTTGTCTGCTTCTCAGACCACCCCACCAGCAAGTAGGCTGGGGTTGCACAAGAAGTTGGGAGGGGACACAGCCAGGACAGCTGACCCCAACTGACCAGAGGGATATTCCATACCATATGATGTCATACTCAGCATATAAAGCTGGGGAAGGTAGGCGGGGGATGTTTGGAGTGATGGTGTTTGTCTTCCCAAGTAACTGTTACACATGATGGAGCTTTGCTTGTGCGTGTGGCTTTTGCTTTACCTATTACACTGTCTATCGCAAGGCTGAGCTGCCTACTGAAGTCAAACCACAACCTGGTTCTGTTTTGTTTTTCTGGTGGCTCAACTAACCTCACAAATTCTCATGCATTTCAAGCTAACAAAACTCCTTCATAGTTAAAGGATTGCTAAATGCTGTTCATCCCATTAGGAAGGGAACACAGCCAAACTGAAGAGAAGTGCAGCACCGAGCTGTGTCCCCTTCATTGCTTTGTTATCAGAACCATTAGTGGTACAATAGGCAGATGAGAGCGCTTTAAATATCTATATTCATGTGTTTTCCTTACATATTGCTTTCACAGCTTGCTTCAAGAAGCTCACTAAAGTAAGTCATTAGCTTGCAAGAATATTTCCAGAAATTACTGGAGAGAGCAGCTGCTGAAGAAAACCAGGTATTGGCAAAACTTCGTGTAAAATTCTGTGTAATTGTGTTTATAGTTAAGATTTTTAGGTTGTCAAATTACCTGAGAATCTGTGTGTACAATCCTAACTCTGAAGTGAGAACAAGAGAGCACCAAGGGGAGGGAGGGACACAATGATGACAACATTCCAAGTCAGCATGAGCCAGAACAGCCTGCCTCTTTCATATAAGTAATTGGTCTGTGGAGATGCTGAGGTTCTTTGTGAATTGGCTGGATGGCAGTTGCTTTATATGAGGAGACTACTGGTAGAGACTGATAACTGGCAGATTTAATTCCTAACAGATGAAGAATTCCTAATCAGATTCATAACTCATTATATGAGGAAATTCCTAGTAAGACCTTGTTTGTGGGAAGCTGTAAATCTTGCTGAAAAATTCCCATTATTTTATACCATGAACTCCTGAAAAAAAACTAGTTCCTTGAGTGTAGCCAACTGTTTGTAGTTGCTCTTTTTCCTTTTGACTCCCAAGGAAAAAGTTGTCTATGTGAGCATGCTGTCAGTCAGACACCTCTGACTTCAGCATCTCTTGGCTCACTTAAATTCTGTCAACAACGCAGACCAAAGAAGATCCAACCTCCCCCGCTAAGGGAAAGGGAACTGTGAGAGTTCAGTACTTCTGCTCTGCCTGATCTGTGCCTGGAATGACAGCATGACAGGCAGGGTAGTCAGTGTAGCAGGGAAAGAAGGGAGCCCAGGATGTATGCACAGAACTGGAAGTTGCTGATGAACACAGGTGACTTACTTATAAGAGGTAAATTGCAAAGAAGTAGCTGCGGAGAGAGAGGATCTAGGAAGAAAATCCATAGTAAAATGGGTTGCATTAATTATTTTACCCATGGAGTATTATGCTTGTTTGTTTGCTTATAGTTTCTATTCAGTATTTAAGAAAAATAAAACCATGTTTCTTTCACTTAGATCGCACATTTCTGGCCATGTCCAAGTAACAAACTTCTGTACATGAGCTGTCCTTGCTTTGGCACAACTCTCAATGGTTTCATGATGAATCCCTAAATGAGCATCAACAACTATCTCGGAAAATTACTCCTAGAATGTGGAAGCACAGATTTGCCCGTTTCTGTACCTGCTTCCTGTGTCTGGCACTTGTTAAGGTTCTAATCATTCTCACAGTCTATAATCTCTCTGCCCTTATCTTCACAAACACAAACTGGTACCAAAGAGAGAAGTGGTACTCAGCACAGGAGTCCAGGGAAGGAGGTAGGCTCTTAAAATAATTCCAGTGAAGATCTATCTGTTCAGTTAAATAATCACCTATATTGATACCATTACTAAGGCTGTAATAAGCTGTAATAAGGGTGTTAACAGAATGAACATCTCATTCAAAACAAAACAGAGAGATTAACAAAACTTCTACTCATAGCTTGTAAAACTGTTCTGTGTGCATACTCATGACAGGGACAATATAAAAATGTTTTTAAGGGGCTTATCTAGTGACTTACGTATCTAGTGATGACTTCTATTGTGCCTCGAAGATCAGCAAGGTAAGTGAACACAGGATAACTGGACATCTACAAACATGAAGCTGTACCTGAGCAATTGATTTTCACTGTTAAGACTACTCTGTCTAGAGGATACTCTGAAATGCAGGTCACAGCCATATCCTGATGAGGATGCTGGAGAACAAGTGCTTGACTTTTCCTTGAGGTGTACCAAGACACTAAAAATAAATTATTTTAAGTGGTGGGGAGAAGTAACAAAACACACTGGTGTGAGCCGATTATATCCTATAAAATTTGCACTGCCCCTCCCTTTATTTTGCAAAAGTTAGGCATAAAATACAGAAGTGTTCATAACAGTTATCTTTTAAAATTTGCATTGGAATGATACCTTACGAAAGCAAAAGCAATGTGGTACAGCTGATAAAAGACACCAAATATATTTTAGCTACGAAACCACAAATCAGAGACCAGCTCAGAGATGCTCTCAAGTATAAAGTGTCTAAAAATATTAGCACTAATTTCTTTAAGGCTTTTGTCTTCAGCTGTATTTTCAATAAAAACATTTGCTCTTATGGTAAGAACAGACAGTGAAAGTCTTGTTATATTTTACCAAATTCTTAGCTGATACCAGCCAATTCCAGGCTGCTGCAGCTCCCTCTGCCACACAGTACTCTCCCATTTAGTTGACAGGAAAGATGAGCTTTTTTCTCAATGTGAAACTGGGCTGTGGCATCTGTTTCTCTGTATTCTGCTTGCAACTCTTTCTGCTCACCTCTTGATTCACTGCTGTCAGGATGGTGAGAATATCTTCTCCTCTGCAAAAACACAAGTATGTTTTGTAATAGGGAGGCAGTTAACATCAGAATTACCACGTTCTCATGTATCTCGACCTACAGCAGTGCTAATGGCTCCTGCTTTAAACAGGCTTCACAGCAGCTAACTAAACTGCTTTGAACAATCTGCATGGTGTTGCCTCTGTCCTACATCACTGTTTTCACCCTGAACAACCACTCCCAGTGCGTATCATCTACCTCTGCATCCAAATCAAACTCCTGTCAATCAGAAGGCAAATACAGGTGTCGCCAAAAAGAAGCTTATGGAAACATAGTTACCGAGGACAGCTGTACTCCAAGTGCTGGCACAATGCCTGTATGTACCAGGTCCCCTGCCTTGGGCTTCTGTAGGAAACGTAATCTTGCAGGGTAGCCATGCCCAAGAGGAAGTCTGCCTCTGCGGGGATGCAGTCAAGCTGAAATCTTGCATCTGTTTCTACAGAAGAATCTTGTTCTCCAGCATCTGTTTCGATGGTCACGCCTTTCTGGCAAGCCTCACCTTGGCAGGCCTGCACAAAAAAAACTTTTGGTTTTCCGGCAAGGGAGTGGCAATTCTGTCCAGTGAAAGAAGTGGTCAGTTCCTGGATAGGTACTTCCTGCCCATCAACACCATATATAATGCCTTTTTTCCCATGAGACAGAATACAGCAAACAAAACAGTCTTTGTCCTTGTGGTCTTTGCACCGGTAGATGTTCACAGTCTCACGGATTTCCTCTGCGGTGAGGTCTCTATATTCTCTTATTATAAAATGAAGCTTCCTAAAGACTCTTGTCAGAGCCGCTGGAAAGTAAACAGAAGGGGAATTGGAGCTGTTTCATTATATGAAAGTTGGACTCTGCAATTACAGATTGCATTTCTAGAGATAAATGATTTTCTTTTTTTTTAAAGCCTGCTACACTACTATCCGGGTAGTTACAAAAATCTAGTAGTCTCAGCACTAATCATAACTCTACTGAGTTCCCTCTAGTATCGCCTCTGTCTGGAAAGTGTGCAGAACTATAGGAAAGCTGTATCTCTCCCACCCACTTTACAGCTCGTCCCTTCATCTCTGATAAGGTGTTGAGCAGTGCAGTTGCTTTACCCAAGAGAAGAGGGAACTACTCATTTGGGTCCTACCTGTGTCACAGGAAGAAAAACCTTGCACTCTGACTCTTGAATTAAGTTGGAGTTCAATTCAATCAGGAAAGGCCCACTGATGGATTTTTTTTATCTTTTGGCATAGATAGTGCAAATACACCCAATCTCACAGACCCTACAACTTGCAATGAGCTACGCTGCTGCTGCTGGACAGGCTGCTAAGATCAGGGCTGCTGAATAGCAAGGTCATGGCTTGCTTTTTTTAATAGAGCTGGATGTTAAAAAAAAATCGGGTTCAGCAGCAAATCTGTTTCTGATTCTGCATAATTTAGAAGTAGTATGCATAAGGCTGACACAAACCTAGCCCAGCTTGTAAAGCCCAAGCTGAGGTTGCTGCTTAAGGTTGCAGTAAACTCAGCAGAACAGCAAAATGTTAGTGAATTGTTCTGAGTCAGCCAGTAAAAGCTTGATGAGTTGATTAGTGTTTGTCAGCACAGAAAACAGAGCTGACTCAGCCATTACAAAAAAAGTATCCTAGAAAAGGAAGATTGAAATCCAGACCTTTAGTATAGAAAAAGGTTTCTATTTTTGAAGATATGCAAACTCATCTTTAATGTTTGCTGTACCTGCATCCACATCTGTCCCAGTCCGATCCTTCAAGTTTTTTTGTTCCAGCACTGCTTCCCTGGCTTTTGCAAAATTGTGATTATTCAAGATCAGGCACACTCCGCGGGGTCGGCTAGTCATTTTGTAAGCTTCAAGCTGTTGAAAAGAAATACTACCAGTGAAACTACTGCACTTTCCTCCAGGTGCTTCTCAGCCCTTGCTAGTGGCACAGCAGGGTAAAGAGCCAGCTGGCTTTCTCTCCAGGCAGCTCACTCTACACAGCTTTGCTCCCAGGACCTGGCAATACACTGCCCTGCCACCTCTGGGAGTCTGTGCACAGATGACAGAACCTCCCCACCCCCTGCCCCAGACCCACATCATCATGCTCAGCCTGCATGGGGTGCACCCACTTCCCCACGCCCAGCCACCTGCATATTTCCTGGTATAAGAAACTCAGCCCACCTTGCTGCCCTTGCAAATGTTTCTGAAGTTTTAACACTGCAGCAGCTACTGCCTGTGACTTAGCTTCAGAATAAAGGATGTTACAGAGTGGTGCATTTTTCTTTTTCTAGACAGTGCTTTTAACAGTTGGGCTTATAATAATGGTTCACCTCATGGAGGGATGATCTAAGACAAAATGATGATGTTTCTAAGAAACAAACTGACTTACCCGGGAAGGTTCATTCCAACTGTCAGGAGAATCAGCTGTCACAGATGATGGCCGCCATCTGGCATGGGCTGAATACAGACAAAAAGGTTTAAGTATAGAATGTAGCACTAGAGAAAGGAGAGAAGCTCTGTTCCTACTCTCCATCTCCACAAGTACCTCCCAAGGTAAAACTGCCCTCTGAAAATAGTGAATTGTGGTTGAATGGCTGTTCCAGTTAGCCGTAAACCACTAGATAATCAATTAAAAGAGAGTAAAATCTATTATGATCAGTTAGTAACTGGATACTTGATCGGTTTTTAGAGAGGCACCTGTGTAAAGAAGTGAGATGCAAGTGGTGTAGAGAGTCCAAAAGCTGAAGAGTGAAAAGTCTAAGCATTAATTTTTTGAGAGTTTCAATTACCTTCAGGGCCTCCTGTCCTACCCCTGTGTTCCTCCGTGACGACCATCTCTTCTTCACCTGAAAAGCATTCATTATTAGTCCTCTATGATACCTACGTGTCACTTCTTCAAGAATAACTATAGGAAAGAGACCGTTTTGTTTTGTTTTACCAAATAGGTTTAATTCATACTCTTCAATTCTCTTCAACAGGACGAGGTTAATTTCTGCACAGAGACTCTTCAGGATATTTAGGTTGTCTTCTCCCAAAATCCCCTTCTTCTCCATCTCAGTGAAAACGTCGAGCATTGTCTGGGTAATCAGAAAGTAGCTTGCTCTTAGGGCACATTCATGCTGCCACTGGGAGGGAAGTTGCAGCATGTGCATGTGCACCTAAGCTTTAGTGTACTGACAGCATATGCGACCCACAGAGTCAGTCCAGCTGACCAGTAGCTCAATTGAGACCTCAGCTGAGTGAATTAAACCTAGTTCAACAAAACCTGCAAGTACTGTAAGTACTAACATCTCCTCAAAATATACTCATTTCCCTTCTGCAGTTCAGAGATGCTGAGATTTAATACGATCTAATCCAGGACATCTAATGGTGATCATACAGAAATATATAATGTCATTTTTAATGACTGCTTTCATTCATTTGACTTCCAGTTGCTATTTTGTGCACTTAACTGAAACACAAGAATCACTGTAGTGACCATCTTAAGCAATGGCGAAAATGGGTATAACCATGCAAGTATGGTATAGAGATTGCTTTGAAGCAAAAGGTGACCCAAGGTACAGGAGCTCTTGCCAAACAGTGAGTGGCAGAGCACAGTGGTCACCCCAAGGATTTACTAGAACAGCTGTCACTAGATGGTCACTGTCTCTCCTCTAAGAAAAGCGGGAAAATGCTACAAGAGTTTTCATTAGACACAACAAAGTTCCCAGCAGTAAGAACTGCAGGCTGACATAGTGTAAGAGCAGCTGGAGCTCCGGCACAGCTATTTGTAAAGTCCCACTCTTGGGCCTTAGCCTTGGTAAGGATCTGCTGCTTAGATCCCTATTTTCTGAGTTTGGAAATAAACGGAACAAAAGTACAAAGTAATAGCCACAGTGGGTTATTTTCTGTGTTTGATAATGGTTTAGAAAGCAGTCAAAAGAAAATCACTTGGGCAAGTTGAGTCAATGTGCTCATCAGTCTTCCACTGATCAAAGCCACTGAGTCCCCTAAGCCCCATAAGGTGCTTGGACATGAAGGTGTCTGTGCCTGGTGCAGGGCTGGCCCATGTGCTCTGGGCTGTGACACTGCTGCAAAAGCTACACATAACGCTAGCACAGACAAGTCCCACACGCACCGGAGTGCTTGTAATCCCTTTCCAGCTACATCCTTTTTCTTATGGTGTTTTCACTATACAAAGAGTGACACTGTAGGAAGAGTGACACTCAGTCCCCTCAGAGCAACCCATATGTCTCTTTGGATTATAATAATAATTTTTTAAAAAAAGCATTAAGGAAATTCTTACAGTCTTAGGGTTTAGCTTGCATTTTGGTAATTCTGTCCCCAAAAGAAACTTGAAAGACTTCAGCTCATCTTCACTGATATCTTCTGACAGCTGAAAGAGCAGGTATCTAGAAGAGGAGAACACTGTTCCATCATGTTCCCAAGCATGTCCCGTAGTACAATTTAACACCGTATTGCTGAACTACCCCCTTCGCACCCCGCCCCTGGCCCAAGCACATATTCCTCTTTTTTTCCTTTTTAACTGGGGGGTACATTAGTCCCAGGACAGCCTGAAGTAAAATAATTTTCAGCTGCAATTAGAAAGGTCTCAGTTTTCGTAAAATCAAAACCACGCTGAAACTTTCTGGAGTTGAGAACAAAATACACAGTCACTTATCACATGCAGCACCCGAGCTGAGAGGCCTTCGGGGGCTGTTCAGTATTTCAGAAAGGCACGGCTTAGTTTCCTCCCCTTAACTGGACAAAAATTTCAACTTTCCGTATGGGCTGTACCTGCTTTCCCTTGGAAGACGCTTGTGTGCTTCCAAACCTTAGCGTGGTGTTCAAATCATCGGTAAAAGCTTACATCGACCACATGAGAAGG